GGAGTCCTGGCGTACTGTTACCTGAGCAGGCAGTGGAATGATCACAGGTGCCACAAACGTCCTCAGCGACTTTGATATTGAGACGAGCTGTCATGAGATATTAAACTTCACCCACAACTGCTCTTGCGCTACTTGGTCATTAACTGCTGCCTTATAGCTTCAGTCTAGCACGGTTTTGGTGTCGGCGTAGAGGCAGGCACCAAGATATAACTTTAAGCTGGTCCCAAGCAGCCTGTGCCCCAGGACCGCAGATCAGGTTTCGTGACAAAGGCTTCTAGGGGCGTGGGAGGAGGTAGTCCCATCGGTAGTCGCGCCACTCTTTACCAGAACCGAAGGTCGGCATGGCTTTCTTGTCCCTGGGTCCACTGTTACCCACCAGGGTGCATCGGCCAGCGGCCGTAGCGCAGCGTTTTTTCCCTAGATAACGGCGTCTGTGATTAATAGAGGCTGCGCGCAAGCGGCACGATTTCCGAGGCATTAGGACCATCCGAAATTGGATAGTTTCGTGTCTCACTAAGTGGTAGCAGCCTCAGCGCCGAGCGAGCAGCACCAGCTGCTGACCCAGAGACGCCAGCCTCAACTGCTTACGTTGCAGCATCATTTGATACAAGAAAAGTTAACGATCGTTATAACATCTTAGGCTCATTTTTCATTTGTGCTGTCCGAACAATTGAGCTTAGAGCGATTTGCCAGACTATGCCCCAGCAGCGTTCTGCTCAACAACAAAAGAGACACGTTTCGATGTAGTGCAAGACACTTCCAAGCATTTCTCCCTGGTTCGCAGCAGTTCTGCGTTTAGGTCACAACGCGCGGCAGATGGTTACGACTAGGCTGTCCTCTCGTTGCACTTCCCAACTTGCATATGTCTGTGCTGCTTCCCAGCAGGCATCTTCACTAGTGAGATGTCTTTGCGCTGATGAGCTAGCTATGCAGTATGAGGTATGTGAGCTGCATCGTGGTATCGCCGCAAGCAGCACTGCCAGAGGACGCTTTACGCAATTGCCGGCGTAGTGGCTGTGCGCTAACACACAGAATTGTTTCACATTGACAGTGACGCAGGCTCTGACAAACGTGCAGTTCAGCTTGAAGTTTTGTATTACAGATGTATGATTCACATCTGTCGGTAGCCCTTGCTTTTCGCCCTAGGGACAGTTGTCCCAATAGCGCATAACTTCGTGATATACGTAGAAGTACGCTGTGGTACCGTGAGTTTCTGCCAGCATGTTGCTCGCTCCATCGTCACTAATTTATGATGGCGCGGTGGTGCCATAAAGTTTAACAGAACTTTTCCTTGCGTGGCAGAGCTACCGCTAAACGGGAGCTGTACTACCATTTCGAAGAAGGCCTGTGAATCTGTGGGGTGCAAGCGGGATCCTCTTTATGAGGCGCATCACCAAGGCTTCTGACACTCCAAAGTATCAAGAAAATACATCACTCCTTGGGCGACGAATAAATGTACATTCCCAGCCGGTAGTTACTAAAGCTGGAATGACTGTCGATTTGCCCCTAGTCGTAAAATTGTTGGGTCATCCCTAAGGGAAGTTGTGGGAGTCATCTCGGAGCATGATTCAAAGGCTCCACTAAATCGTTGCCTTCTTTCCATTTCCACACACGCTTGTAAGCCGCTGGCATACGTATGTTGGCTAGGACTGAAAGCAATTCAACAAAAGCCACCTTTTGTACGTGGGCGAATTGACGGCACATTGTCTTTCAGCCTCCTCCGCATTCCGAAACATCAACTTCGTGCGCATGTAATAAATCCGTAACGGAAATCTCGTTATGACACAGTGTAACTTTTTCCGCAAAATGTGGAAGCTGTATCAGTGAACGTCGTGAACACACTGGAATTTAACAGATCTGGCCAAAATAAAAGTTGCAAAGGCAGCATCCCTACTACATCTTAGGGGCATTTCATGTTGGCCTTTGCATCATGTGGGCCTTGGGGAAACCCGGAAACACCCATGAGCTGGGATGCCCTGGAGCTATGCAATCTCGGCAACAGGGCCAAAAGCAATACATGCCCGGAACGACGGCCTTGCAATATGCTGCAAAACAGGAATACAAAAAAGCGACCTACGAACGGTGGAACTGTTAGGCTACGCTGTTGTTCGAGGCCGAACAGCCCTGGGCGCACAGAAGCGTTACCTTGCATTCTAAGGGTTTGTATCACACTCTAAGCAACCCTCTACAATGCAGTCACTATGCACGAGATGTATCTACCACTCCGGTCTAACACCAACCTGCGCCAGGAATGAGGGTTGGTTAGCAACGATAAAGTACAAGTCCGATAGCACTGTAACCGAGAAGCCCGAACAAGGCAGGAACACTCATTGGAGCTGATTACAACTGGCTCATTGCAGCGAGATCCGCACACATATCCTGTTCACTGAAATACTAGGCGAAATAGCAGCACTGCAAGAACTTTGTGCCTTGATGGAGAAAGTCATTTCGACCAAACTCGTCAGAGCGCCACAGACGCAAGCTTCCCTGCAAGTGCATGCATGATTGTAGGTATGTATGACAGTTGCAAAATTTGTCCAGTGGAGCTCAAAAGCGCAACTAGAGTGTCACCATTGACAAAACCAACCACGCCTGATGCAGGAATGAGCCCGTAACAGTTACTGCCCACCTGTTGCAGCTGCTCCCCGCCGAAAATATAAACACACAAGCAAAGCGCAGTCACCACGCCTCCGCCACATATGGCTATTCCCTGACCCTTGTAAGCGCCAGCACATTCGACGACGCCTGCAAAGCATGAACAATCTACGCCGCCGACGCGTTTCCATACCTGGCCAGCTCTGCATAAAACAACTCAAAACACGAAAGCAGTACTTCTAGGAGAAAGAAGCAACCAGACTGACTGTCAAAACGGAAACCACGGTGAGGCAAACGGTGTTGAAACGAGTATTGGTCAACAGGGGTGGTGCGTCCCTACTGTGAGAGCCTCGTTCAAAAGCGCTCTTCAAGGGGATACAATATATTTCGGCAAGTGTATCATTTAATGCAATTCGCCGCCGTTCCTGCGGCCGCATTAAAAAAAGATGTGAGCATTGTAAGCCTCGCATCCGTGTGTACTTCAAGTCAGCCTGGCCGACCGCTTTAAACAGTTGCACGCAAACCACATATATACATGTTATTTTCCGCAAATACAAAGCGGCCTCAAAAGCAGTAGCGGGGAGAGTCTGTTGGTCAACGCGATGTTGATGGGGAAATGTGGGGAGAGTTCGTTAAAACGATTTCTCCTGGGGCGCGATCCCAGCTTAGACAATCCTTTGGGTGTCTGGAATACAAAAGTGAAGGTACTTGAAGGTAATAAAAAAGTGTGGATGGCTCGAAGCGCTCAGAGTCACTCAGATGCGCTGGTCCAGCTAGTTTAGACTTTGGGCTGCGAGCACTTGCTACGACAACAACAGTCCGCGGATAGGTGCAGATCGTATATATCCTCACAAAGTGCAGATGTTACATTGCATAAGCCAGCATGAATTAATTAGGAGAGTTTGAAACACTGAAGACAACTAGATGCGAACACTTCTTTCACTCAAGCTGGCACACTAATAGCAGTCTTCTCCAGCCCCAATCACTGTTTCCTGTGCCTTGTTTGAAAATGCCGAGGAAAACTCCTACAGTTAAAGTCCCTAATGCTCTACTATGCGCTAACTTCAAAATTTACTGCATCTTATAACCTTAGTCTATGAATTCCACGCGTAATCTAATGCCGTGCACTACTCCACCTGAGAGGTCAGGACCGGAGATCATCCCCCTGCTTCACACTGTAACGTAGAAAAGCCCCAATTATGTAAGTCGTATCCCATATGCGTCATTGTGCTAATTTAAGTGCGACAAAACAGGTCTAGTAGCTTTGAACTCTAGAGTTGAATTTTCTGCCGTTGTGCTGCGACCACTGCGTCTCCTAAGCTCTCAGGACACGCGTTTTGGGGGAGGATAAGAAATAATTCTTACTGTGAAAATTTAAATCGTGTTACCATGATATTCTGTCATTATTAATTGTTAAATACGTTTTTGAAACGGAATTCTGGTATGCTTACGCTGCATCCTCCACTCCCCTTCCCCTCGTTCTTGCCCCCCATTACGGCGCCTCCGCACACTCGATGGCGCACAGTGCTGCTTTGGCGTGCTGCCTTCTACAGCAGGTACCACTTTGGGGCCTCTTTCGTATTAAGTGAAACGAATTTGGTTTTTAAATCGGTAATTAGTGCATCTTGTTGGCGTGTTAAGCTGTTTCGCCGTGTTGTGCTCGAATTCAAGCATCTGACTTGGGCCCGTAGTCGCCTCCCCTTCTGCCCCTCCGCATGTCTGCTGGTGACAGCTGCTTCACTTCTTTCTCATCGTCGGGTTCTTGCTTTTGCGTTTCGCGTTTAGTCGTGCTCACGCTTTAAGCAGCGGCAGATATCCTGTGGGCTTTCTCACCGCTGCCCTTCTGTGGGAATATCAGAGCAGCGACCACTTTGGCAGCAGCCTTGCAGCGCAACTGGCTTCCTCCCTCTACAGTGCAGCATTCCGCGGGGGTGCCTTATGGCATTTAAATGCGTCGTTGCTGCCGTGGTTTTAGGCTGAATAGCTCCGCCGCGGTGAAAGTGCAGCTGCGTGGTGTTTCGGAGGGTGGCGTGGCGGCGAGGTGGCTTGGCTCTGTTTGGGATTGCAGTCAGCACATGGGAGAACAGGGCTGAGGATCTGCTGCGTTATTACACAACAGCTGATGCGAGCGGAGGCGGCGTCTCCGCCGTCGCAATTCCTCCCAGTTGCGGAGACCATGTAATCGTCACCTGGGACTGGCTGCACCGTAATGCAGTTTCGTCTTTCCGCCTCAATAAGTCGAATTGAATTGCGCTACGTCGCTGAAAGAACAACAACACAGAAGTGGTGCGCTGCGTGGCGGTGAGGGCAGCGGCTGCTCCCATGCAGCTCTCGGGGAGGCGCGCAGTCCTACGGCTGAGAGTGCCCGTTCAAAGACACACAGCAGTTTCATCGTTCCAGCAAGCATGGAGACTACGCGTGTACCCTTCGCGCCTCAAGGCGAGACGCTGAAGTATGGCTACACGAAAGGCCACCTTGTAATGGAGCAGGAACAGCCGCAGCAATTGCTACAGCAGCAGCGAATGCTGCAACAACAGCAGCAAATGCTGCAGCAGCAGCAGCTGCAGTTTCCGCAACAATCTCAGGAGTATCAAGAAATACGACAACAGGATTCACTGCGGGAACAGCAGTATGAACAGGAACAAAGGCAATGCTCGCAGCAGCAGCGTCAACAACAACAGCAGCAAAGCCAGAAGGGATACTCCACTTGCGGGGGAGACGAGGGCGTGCTGCCTTCGGGACCTCTCTTTGTTGAGAAAATGTCTCTTCTTATGAAGCAGCTTGCCACTTCAGGAGACGAGGCAAGCGGCCGACCGAGTGTGGCGACGCGATTCGACGTACGGTATTCGTGCTGTGCTGCTAAAACTGTTGCCTGACTTGCGGTGGAGAGACGGGCGAAGCTTAGCATTTAGTCTCGACTGTATAGAGGTATGCGAAACATTTTAGTACGCGCGAATACGTGTGTGCATTTTTCAGTCAATATGCCCACCGGCTACGTCCATTGCTGCATACATTCCTCGCCTGTATCGACACTTTCGCTGCTCTGAGGAGGTTTTCGTGTTCGCGCTCATCTACCTTGACCGCGTCATCCGCGCAAACCACATCAGGATCAATGCACTCAATATTCACAGACTCGTGCTTGCTGCCAGCGTTGTCGGAGTTAAGTTTGTAGAGGATGTAAGGTACGTCCGAGATACTGAACGAGCAGCTGCAGCGGCCTTCGCAGCAGCAGCACCGGGTTGCGTGGCTTGGGCCACGTTAGAGTACTCCCCTTTCCTTATCCCCTTGTTTTGTGAAATTATTGTCTCGGGTTTTTTGTGCCGATGTTCGTTTCCGCAGGTACAGCAACAGATACTACGCCAGGGTTGGTGGAGTGAGCCTGACGGAGCTAAACCGTCTGGAGCTCGCGTTTCTCAAGCTGGTCAAGTTCGATTTGATGGTTTCAAAAGAGGAGTATGCAGTTTATCGCAGCACGGTCCTCCTCGCCTGCCCATGGCGGCCTGTATCCAGTGTACCGCAAGTGGAGGCAGAGGAACAGCAGCAACAGCAGCAACACTTTGTGGGGGCAGCTGATACAAGGGTTGGTGGTGTAGACTGCCGCAATTCCCTCATGGGTCCAACGGATCAGCAGAATTATGGAGATGCTCAAATTCCTATGGAGCAGCAAGGGCGGCTGTATGCGCTTGTGCAGCAGCAGCAGCAGCAGCAGCGGGAACAACGGCATCATGAGCAGCAGCAACATTGCTTAAGTGGCGTGGTGGCGACTTCAACAGCTTCTACAGTGTCAACCACACCTGAAGCTGGTCCTCCAAATTTGCCATCGGGCACTTCGTTTGGTTCCAGTGCAGGCGCAGTGGTAGCGGCTGCCGTGGCGGCAGCTGACCTCATCCAGCAACATCAGTTGGATAGGCTGATGGAGAGCTTACAAAGAACCGAAGTCTCTTCACAAGAGGAGGCATTGATGAGATGCCCACTCCAGCAGCAGTGGCAGAGCTGCGGTGTGCAATATGTAGGTGCTTACGAGCAGCAGCACCCGCAGCAGCAGCAGCTGTCGCTGCAGCAGACACGCTTGATGCTGCAGGCCCAGGCACAGCAAGCTCAATCACAACAGCAGCAAAAGGTCTCGAAGCAGCAAGGCCGGTTGTGCAGTCCAGAGCGGCTCCTGGAGCTGCAGCACCAGCACCACCGACAGATGATAGTGCACAGCAGCTGCTGCTGCTGCGGGAGCATCATCATTAGCAGCAGTTGCTGCTGGAGCAGCAGCAGCAACAGCAACTGATGCTGCTGCGCCAACGGCGGAGTTTGCTGCTCGTACACGGTGGGGACCTCATGGTGCACGAGGCCTCGATGTCTCGTAGTTTCGCACCCACGTCTCGTTGCTACAGTGTAGACAGTTTGCCCATGTGCGGCGTGTTTGGGATCGAGGCAGACAAGGTGATTGCAGCAGCTAGCGTGAGGAGCTGCACCTGGAAACCCCGTGAACGGCGTATGGCGTTTTGGCAGCCGAGGTCCCCTCGTTTGTCTCTGTCTTTGTTCCTTATGTCCTGAGGCGCAGTCTCAGTTGGTTTTTGTTGATTATTTTCTTCGGATTCACTGTCTTCTCTATTGAGCCATCTGAGTTGAAGCCAGCAGGGCAAAAGCAAGTTGCGGAGCGCATTCTATCGGCCGCCGCCCTTCTGTTTCTCCACTGCTCGGAGTCGAGTCCGTTTCCTCTCAGAATGCCTTCTGACACTGATTCCACAGCGCTGACTACCGGACGGGCTATGCTGCACGGTCCACACAGCCCATGATTTGCCTCCTCCGATGTTAAGGTGTGTAGGTGGGCGGTGACGCGGCTCCCGTTAGGGGGGGCAACCGTGCCGGTCTTCTCTCTCCCTGATGTGTTGCGGCGGGGTGCGTTGGGTTTAAGGGTTCAATGTTTACTGCGGCGGATATATTTGGGTCGGTGTGCAGTACCTGAATCCCAGCTTCAGTGTTGAGCAGCTGGGACGAGGGCGGCCAAGCTTTGCTTGTGACCCCCTCGCCTGACGCCCCCGTTGCCTCCTCTCGCTCTTCACGGCTTCGCATCCCATTATTCGGATTCGTGCAAGGTGATACGAAGTGGTCGTCTTGCACCGTCTTAGACACGAGTAGTTTGTCCGGTGTTTGTCACTTCGTGGGTGTCAACATTTTTTTTCCTTGCCTTATCCCTCACGCTGTGATTGCTTTTGAAACTGCGCGCCGCAGCTGTACGAACAGCGTGAGGTGCAAGCCTGCTTCTTTCTGGTGTGTGGCCCCTAATCTGCGACCTGTGCGCGCTTGACATGGTCGTCTTCCTGTATGCCAGGCCCGAACGGTATGGCTCACGGGCCTACTCTTGCTGTCGTCTCCCACATTCCATTGCCGCCCTTTCTCTCCCTGGTCTCTTTGCCGCTAGACACTTGCACCCCCACCCAGTTGACCCGATGTTTTTAAAGCCGCACGCCTGAAGACGCAGCCGCCATCTCTGCTCAGACGGCGGCGATGTTCCGTCGCTGTCGGGTATTTTTTTTGGGGGGGGCTAGCTGGAGTCAACAGTGGCCCCCACACACGTTCTTCGTGGTAGTCGCTGTGTTCTGTCTTCAAAGTGGGGCGATGCTGATGGTCAAGGAACCCATAGAGACGTGCGTGGGGCCTCCACAGTTGTGGCGAGCCCCAGGAGGAGCACAGGAGAAAATTGGGGTGAAGAAGAGCTCTTCTGCAGTCTTCCAAAAGTCTACATAGTCCTGCGCTCGGCGTAGGCGAAGCAGCAGCCGGCTGCTATCTGGGCGCTTTTTCTCTTTTAATATTATTTACTGTATTATTGGCATGATAGACACAACTGGCTCAGCAGCAACTACTCGGCGTGTCTACGGTGCCCGTCCCTATTGTTCCTGTTAAGGGCTCCACCGGCTCAGTCTGGCGCCCGACCAACTCACGTGGCAACCGGAAGATATGAGACCTTGCTTCACGCGCGCCGTACCAACAGAAGCCTATTTTGCGGGGTTTCTTCTCCGCTTTTGTTGCTTTCGGCAGTTTTCGTTTCGTTGTCTACCTGGATATTAGCTCCTTTGTTCTGGCTCTCTGTTTCACTAAATCAAGGCTGCGGCAGTAGAGTTTCTCAAGCAAGGCAGCAAGCAGTAAGCAGACTCGGCTAGCTTACAAGCTGTCAATTAGCTGGTTTCTGGACTGAGCAATTTATGTGTTGAGCTGACGGTGAAGGTGTGTGGCGGCAGCTACGCTGCATTGCGGGGTGCTTGTGCGACCCATACAGCTCGAATTTGCTTTGCGATCTGATTCGTTGGTGGTTCGGTGGTTGTGAGAGACAGCACTAGACTGTTCTCTGTGGCGTCAGTGCAGCTTCTGAGGTATGGCTTGACGATGTAGCGGGCGGAGGATGAGCTTTTGACCAAATATCTGAAGGAACTTAGTCGTGGCTTGGCCATGCTGTACTGGGCAGCATTCATTGAATCTTTCACTTGGGCAGGGTTGCCGTTCTCTACCCGTCTAGGTCTAGGGCTCTAGGGTTTATTCGTGTGAATGGTGAAGCGGCGGCAACTGAGGCTAAGTTGGCCCCCAGTCAGAATAGGGTGGTTCTGCATTAATGCATAGGCGAGTAGATAGATGACGTCCGCCAATTATTAAACAAGCGGTACCAAAAGCTGAGTGTTTCATTCCTACTGGGGGTGGGCAGCTCGTGTTCATCGGGCGACAAGGGTACGTGCAGACAAAACGTCTTTAGGATTTGAGATGTATCATTTTCTTGGCACAATAAGCCTAGTGCCACGATTGTTAAGTCGTGTTGGCGCGTAGGTTTTCGATTTTACTTGTGAGGGAGTTCTAACCCTTTTGACTTTGTCCACGTCAGTTCGATGGACAGTGTGGGTTGTGGTGCGCGAGTGTGGGGCACAGGCAAGGGAATGTGGGTACTCAGAGTAATCCCAGCCTTCATGAGAATGTGTGTTTTGGGCGGAATCGTGTTTGGGGCAATTCTGTACGACTGAGCAGGTCAATCCATTCACTGGCATTGATGGGGACTGTGCAGTCAGTCAGTCTTGTGCTATCCTTTTGGAACAAAACAAATATTTGGCTCGATGCTGGTGCAAAGAGACCTTTAACTCAAGGAAGCAGACAGCGCGCAGAGCGCTATGCAGTTTAAATCGTAGGGCAAACACAATCCAGGACGCTATTAGGGCCAAGTAGTAGGGACCCCAGGGGATCTCTGGGGATCAAGAGAGACTAGGTAGGAAAGCTTTAGAGCAGCTTGGTCTGGACGCGAATCTTGTCGTAGAGGTTGTTGCCTTGAAGCAGGTCGATGTAGACATCCTCGGTGTCGTTTTCCTGTATGCAGCGTTTCGTAACTGAGGTGAGCCTATTTAGAACTTTGACTGTTTCCTGCGTGAATCATTTAGAGCTTAATACGCCCATGGTTCGAGTGCTGTACGGGATGTTCGGTGTGTTGAGCTGCCTTCATGGTGAGTATGGTGTGCTGCTCACTGGGGTGATCGTGACTGTCACGCGTTCCACGTAATCTCCCTGTATGGTCACAACGTCTTTCTCTAGCTCTGCTCTGTTCCCTCCTGCTAGGCGGAGATTGAAGGTCTGCGTGCAGTCACTCCACATGGCCTCTGCTACGAAGCTCAGTTTCTTTTTCCGCACGTCAGTAGCGAATCTGGAGTCCCTGAATACAGTGCCTTTCTATGGTACATATAGAATGCGGCTTGATAAACAGAAGCCGTGCGATTACATTTCAACTCAGCAGCTGATTGTGCAGTCTTCCTAACCTGGTCACTTCTGGAGGGATTCACCAACAGCACGCTCTGGTTAAGTGGCTCTTTGCTGTGTGTCTTAACTGTGTAGAACATTGTGGGGAAGATCTGTGCATTTTCTTCCCATCTTGGCGTGGACATCCCCTCTGCCACGGCCGGAAGTGAAGCAGGTGCAGATAATGCAGCAAGAGGCGATGGTGGCTTCATGTATACAACATCTGCGACGATCTGATTCCGCTCCCCTTGAATTGGTTCTTTCTGTTGGTCATACTTTGGAGATTCAGTTTCTCCGCTGGTTTTATAGGGTTTGCTTCCGGCAGGCTCATTCGACTCAGGTCGTTGTTGCTTGGCTGTTGCCACAGTTGGGAGGCTGCATGGTGAGAGGTCACCTTCTACTGCATCATCGCGCTTTTTGCTTTTAGGCGACAGATGTTGCAGGGAACTCTTGATTTTATCTCCGAATTTCTTGAGTGGCATTTTTGCAGAGATATAACGCAGCGTAGTGTGTCCCTATTAACAGCAGGTGTAGCTGCAGAGCTCTGTAATCCTTTTAAGGACAAAAAAACTTGAAACGAACCTATCGGACTCTGATTTCAAGAAATCACGTGAAGAAAGCATACATGATCATGATATTTCAGTGCAGCTGAGCAGAAGGGCACTTATCGATGCCTGGGATCGCACCTAGATGCCCCCGCGCCGACGTGATCCATGGAATGGCACCAGCCAAGAACGTGCGCATGCAGATCACAACCAGCAAGCCAGTCATGAAATAATTCATCAAAATTACATTTATGATTAAAATACTCACAAATGTTGCTTAAAAGTAAAGGTAGCATTCTGGATGTACTCTAACCCTGCTGTTTCAAGCGCTGCAGTTCATTCACCTCAAGTATCGACTTGCTTGCTTAAGTAGCATTGGACAGCGAGTATTACACTTCGCTATCTGAGTGCGACTTCCACTGCGTTAGCGTCAATGCGCCCATACCTCGTCGTTTCTTGCCTTCGTCAACGCGTGCCAAACCCCAACACCTTTGTCCTCTGGGCTCCAACTCGATGCTCACGTCCTCGAATCGGGAATGTTCTCGCTGGATGTTTGCCACCTTCTCAACATATGCATCTAGTTTCCTTATTATTGGCCTCAGTCGTACAAGTTCTTTCCGGGGCGCTCCGACCTGAACTTCACAACAGGTGCTTCCCCTCTGCATCGTGACCAGGCATTGTTGCCGACCACTCGGTTCTTCCACGAGCCTGTCACATTTTGCCTGTACTCTGCACCTTAATAGCTCCTCACAATGTGGCTCTAGTTGGAACGTAACTAGGTCCGCTCGCGTCGGCCCATCATACAGATCTCCTTCTTGAGGGCATGCACCTCTTTGTGAGCCCTAATCAACTCCTTGTGAACCGTAACTAGCTGCTCTTCTAGTTCATTTTGTTGTTGACAGCGCTTGTATCTTCCCATTTCGAAAAGAGATGCGAGCACGTCAGATTTCGACACCTCAGATTCCAATTCGACGCGCAACTGGGCTGTTACTCGTCACTCCCTCATTATATGATGTGTAAGTCTAGAAATCTTCGCTCCGCATCTCTTATGCTCACCTGCAAGAGTCAGGTGGAATGTCGAAAGACACTGACCGTCCCGGCCGGCTACCCCTCTTGCTGAGGTCTGCGATTTCGCACCTGGCTATCCTTCCGATGAAACTGAGTGAAACCACAGCAATGCTCTCCCATATCATTGTCTTCATAATCGTATCTGGTACGACATGAAGACCTCGCTTCTCTGTGTTCAGTACATGCTCTACACAGACTAGATCCTCTACATCAGCTTCATCCTTTTCTGCTCCCTCTACAAATAAAGCGCCATTCACCAGTTCTGCTTCTGGCTTCTTCTCTACACTGGGAGACTGCACGCACGCTCTACTTTCTTTGTCGTCCTCTTCCCCAGTTTCAATCACAGGACCCCATCTTAGGCTTGCAGACGTTTTTCGCCCAACAGTACTAAAGAGGGCCATTGGTTTCTAAGTGATACTCCCCACAGCCGCACCTTCTGTTTCAGTAGCATCAAAGCCTACCACAATGTTCCGCTCTTTTTCTATGCTGACAGCCAAGCCGCCTCGTTCCTTACAGCCTACACCCTCTGCAGCATTCTCCATGGCTTCTGACCCGCCTGACAGAGCGTTGACTGGAGCAAACGCGATGCTACATTCTTCTTGTACAGTACCACGCTGTACTGTGCCCTCCTCTGAACCTTCACTTTCAGTTGCGTTAACACTACCCTGCATCTCAACCGCCGGGTCAAAATCATTTCTCGTCCCACAGCGGGGCGAAACTGACTTTTCCTGCAACCCTGTACCCCGACGAACGTTATTACAATTTTCCTTAACCTCAAAGGCACAAGTAAATACGCCACCACTATGTTTCCCCTGTTGAGTGTCACTTATGAACCCTTCACTTTGCGACCTCATCCCACTTTCCTCTCCCTTTATTCCGTCGAAGACCACATAGTTTGCCCAAGTACCACGAGCGTGTCTCCCTTGTACAATATCTGACAAGTAGTTGTCCCCTGAATTTGTTTTATCATCAGTGGAACTATTATTTTCTTGTCCTGGGCTGGTTAACAGTTTGTAAAATGACCCTCCACCGCGTGCCCCTCGTCCCCTGCGTGATTTGCCTGCATGATTGTTCCTTCTTCAAGTGGCTCAAAGACATGAGAATTTCCCACAAACCAGACACCCGGCTCCTCCTCTGCACTCTGAGGCCGTTGCATCCACTGCCATGCTCCCACAGAACAGAGTCCAGCGATCCAAATCCGACATGCAAGATGCACTGTAGAGACCCAACATGAGAGAATAAAGTTTCAGTCTCCTAACAAACAGCATGCACGTCCGAATCGCCACACACGCCGGCGTCAAACGAGCTCGTCTCAACACACGGCCTGGCTATTCTCCGAAACTCATGCGCGAAATACTTAGAACACTTCAGTAGCTCAATAACAACTCCATCATACACTTGTGCATCTGTCCCAATCGCTGAATAGTAGCAGAGGAGGTTAAGTACACTGTGCCGCGCTGCCGCAAGGCCTTCTTGCGTCGATTGACGGACAGAGCACAAACGAAGAAGGCTAAATATAGATAAATTTGTCAAGCCCTGCCTAAGTTACCTACATGAAAATATGGAATCTTCATCACTGTAAAAACATTCCACGGAAAGCTGCCCTGCAATAATTACAACATGGGCGCACCCACAAGAGTTGGCGCTCGCGCGAGGTGTGTTGCACAGCGCTGCGTTTCGCTCGCAACGCTACTAACCACGGAGTCCACAGGTCAGTCTGTTGAGAATATCAGGTCCTTTTGCTTATTTTTCAAATAAGTGTGAAGCTTTTTAAGAAATAGAGTGGTGGCCGGAGATAATAAAGACAACACGATCGCATCCACAGTCGTTCGCGCTCGTGGGAGGTGTGCAACAGCGCTGCGTCCTGCGCGCAACGGCACTTACCACAGAACGCACCGGTGAGTTTGTGCAAAAAAAAGTCACTTTTCTCTGCTAAATTTTGTAATAAAGGCGCCAGATTCAAAACACATGCACGCTTTCGTACGCTCGCACTCATGTGTAGCATTGCCGCCCCCAGAAGACAGAGTGCCCAGACTGGGGCTCCTCGTCTCACTTTTCAGTGTTACGCGGTGACGTGGTGCGGCGCCGCTCAGGTGGCTGCATGCATTGAAGAAAAATAAGCAAGAAAAACAGGGATATTCACTTTCCATGTATCGCAAGGCATGAAGCGCTTTTTTGCGGTGCACACCACTACTAGATCGTGCTTCGATTCCGAGGCCTACAACGTAGTCCAAGGTGGCTGTAGACTTCAAGGCTTCTTTTCTACGCTCAAAATATCTACTTCACCACTTGTATTGTATTTCAGTTGCAGAAAATTTCGGATGCGTCAAAGAATGAGTGTGACGCGGCACTGCCCATGCCTGAGGCGCCTGAACGGGCGGCCCACCGTCAATGGCAGGAAAAAAGTAACTGCCATCGGCGCACATTCTTCAGATAAACTTGCTACTACATCTTTTGTAAAAGTTTCAAACATACGGAATCTGAACTCAGAACTAAGATTGACTTGCACAAAGTAGACTGACGTTCAGACGCTGGAGCATGCACGCAATGCGGGCAAAAGCAGCACTGAGGAGCACTTTGATATACAAGATTCGTATTTGTTGTGAGCCTTATTTTTTCAAGTGCTCTTTAGGACGAGACAATTGTTTGCACAGTCCAGGGATTACCGACGCGGGCTACGCAGTATATCAGAAGATTACGCACGTTGTTTGGAGCACCGCGACACAAGTAAAACACCTCGGATTCTTGGAGACTACTTGGATGCGCTTCTATTGTCTCATATACACAACTCAGTTCGCTCCGATGACTCTGCCCAGCACTGGTTCCATTAGTGTGCAACTTCGCGTCATGCACGTTAAAGCGTCGAGTACGGTTAAAAAAAGGCCACGACAAAAAATCACTCCCAAAGTTGTTGGGAAAACTCGCATAAAACGAAAACATACTTCATGAGGCAGTATTAAAAAAAGTGCAGGGCACTACTAATGGGCTCCGGTGTGGGCAGCCTTGTGCCACACAACGCGGCAGCTTCACAACGCGGCAGCTTCGTCACCGCATGCGCTTCCGCAGTATACACAGCTGCCTGTCCAAATTATTTAAGTAGAAGCCCAAGGCCACTGAACTGCGATGGGGAAAGTACCTCGATGTGGTAACCAGTCCTCAGCTCGATAGATTAAGTGTCTGTCGTGTGGACCATGCGGCGCTTCCGTCGGCGTCTTCTTTCCTCAAGTGTCTTCTCCAAGTGACACGCTCTGCAAGAACAAAGTGAAATGCTATGCGACCACCTAAAAACTGTGGGTGCCGACAAATCCAACAGGGAAGCAACCCATAGGCACAACCGAGTAGGAAATGCAGGGAACCGCCAGACTTCTTTGTGCCAGCTCCGTTCACACTTCCTCATTTACTGTGAAGCATTATGGAGTTCAGACAATTCTTTCGTATCAAAACGTCCTGAGAACCTGTTCCACTATCCGTGGGAGCGTGCCTAGCCAACTTCTGCCCTCACTTGCAGAGTGTCTGCACAGCATCAACTGTCGCCAGCCCTCCACCCTCCACAACAGGCTGCCTGTGATCGGCCTCCCAGGCACAGCTCGCAGTGAGGACGGATGCTAGTCGTCGGATCAACGTTGGCCACGGACGAAACTGTGAACCCACACAGCGCATTGGGCAACACAAGCCAGCTTGTTTTTCCTTAGCTGGTCACAGCCAGCAACAAGGGAGAACTCATTAATGACAATGACAACACCGTCGTAGGTCGGCCACGGCCTTTCAAATCAGCCTTCGGAACTCCTGATCATGGGCCCTAACCATCAAAATGAACGTTCCACACACCAGGTTCTATTATCACCTGAATATGCACGATGAACACGTCGTTGGCTGCAATGGAACAAACGGCTGCACTGGGATTTTGTCGGCCGCAGTGACCAGTCTTAGCGCTGGCGAAACACAAAAGCAGAACTCACGCTGGGCGCTAGGCGTACAATTTCCTCCTCAAGCCGCCACTGAGGCTCGCCTGCTGCATGCAACATTCTAAGAGCTATGAGCAACTCTCCGCAGTCCAAACCGCACTGACTGCAAACTCCACCGTCATGCCGCTCGACCTGACATACATACCAGCTGCTGCAATCACTCTGCCCTACTAAATGCTAGCCACAATATTTACAGCATTTAGCTGCACGCAAGCAAAGGCCTCACAAAAAAATTCTAACTCAGGGTGCGCAAAGATCTCGGTTCACCTGGCGCCTCAACGCCCGCCTACGTCTTCTTGCGCTGTATGCATCTGCGCAGCGGCCACAGCAGGTGAGGTCCTGTTCACTGCATCGAATCAGCCAGTGCTGCCTGCCGTCGATTGCGAAATTCTGCGGGGCTGTCACAGTCTCAACTCCCGTTTGCAGCCTGGAAGTCTCTGTGTAACTTCTTGCTGTTTGTGGGGGCGCATGTTGTGAACAGGTAAACTGGGAGCTCTGCAGCCGCTCTCTGTTGTTTCGCTCATCTGCGGAGATGCTCTCTGACCCAGCGATCCCGGCATGTGCCCCACCCGGTTGGGGCTGCGACAAAGATACACTCTTCCCACTGCTTTTGTTGAAGTCCTCGAGTTCTCTGACTTGGAGAAAGGTGCGTGTTGTGCTGACGGCTGAAATCGGCTTCATGCAGGAGACACACAGGACCTTTTTCAGCTCCACAGAGAATGGCTGCAGGTGTCTGTAAACTCCACCAGACTGCGAAGCAATCCCAGCTGTTTTATTGGTGCTGAGGATCACAGGAACTAGCACCACACGAGAACAAATGCCTGCATTAACTCCAGACGATGCTGTTTCGCCTGGCAGCCGTGCGCTACCACTCTGGTTTCTTCCGTCTCTCCTAAAAATTTTTTTTGGAAGAGACTTTCCCATTTGCCTACAAAAATACCGTGAAGAGACAATGTCACGCTCTGGGTCATTATCTATCTCCGATGCCATACCACTGCTCTCTGCGCTACCTCGCCTCGCGTTGCAGCTGGCCACAGAGCTTCTGCAGCGTGGTGACGTTTCCACGATACGTTCACTGAAGATCCCATCTCCGCTTCCTTGTATTGAAGCAGGATCTCGCACCCGTTGGTGCTCTTGCTGCTGAGCTGCTGACTGGAGCAGCAACAGAGGATCGGTTGTGTGACGCGGCAACAGTGTTGCAGTGACAAGAACTCCTTCCTGCTGCTGTGGCGATTCGTTGCCCCTCCTTCCAACGTCAGCTTTGTCGAAGCCTACTTCAGAGTCCGCGATTCCTCCGCATTTCTGCTGTATTCGATGGCGACTTTGCAAGTAAACGTGAAGGTCGCGCACCGTCAACGCCATTTCCCTTACTCTTCGCTGCTCAAAAGATGAAAGCAGGCGGAATAGTTCCATATATTGCCGCGCTGCTTCTCTCG